TAAAAAAAAAAAAGAAAAAAAAAAGCTTGACCAAGTCGTTGTAGTGTCCATACATTTATACGAAAAGCCACCGTATCCTGATATCATTGACCACAACTCTAATTTAAAGCGGTGGCAACCAATTTGTCAATGAAAGCTGGATCAATGGAAGCTGCCAAATCTTTATTAATCAATATACAATTAGTCACTTGAGCGAATTCATGTCCAAATGAGCAAAATTGAAAAACACATTAATTATTATTATGATCTTAGAAGAGAAAGAAGAAGGTAAGTGTGAAATGTTTGTTGATGTTAAGAGTTAGGTTGATAATATCTCTTTAACTCACACTATATAATATAGTCCTGTAGAGATCTTATATATCTAAAATAGCTTAATACAAAATATATTTAATATTACTCCCATGAATCTGTATTCCACTAGTAGAATTCATGTTAATTAAGTGATGAAAGTAGCCACTTCTTTCAATGAATTCTTTGCATCCATTTTTCAATCATGCTATTTAATGCTAAAGCATTAAATCAAAAATAATATACACAATACGTCACATCATATATTAATTCAAAACGTGTTGTGCTAATTGGCATACTCGCATTTTCGAGATCCTATGCAACAAAAAATTACATGCTTTGTTATTAGGCTTCGGCAGATTTTATTTACTTCCAATCCAAAAATAATTAGGTCGGAATTATCCATAAATATGTTGATTATTTGTGGTCATGTTACATGTATTATTTTCATTTTAATATGATTTCTTATTATAATAATTGAATTGTAAATGTATTTTAAAAGTTAATAACTTTTGTATTATTTATCAGTTTCTCATATATAATATATCAAATTAATCATCTCTTGATGAGTTTCGATTTAACATCCGCATCGTATGTATAAAAAGATAAATTATATTTATCTTTATAACAATAATAAAATTATATTTTCTTAATATTAATTACAAAAATAAAATTATTTATCAAATATATTTATAATTAAGTAGTTATATGATATAAGTTATAAAAATTATTATAATATAACACATGTAAGTTGCACAAGTAACAAGTGTCACTTTAAAATATATAATAATATATATATTTTGTAAAAATGAAAATAAAATTTAAAATTATTTTTATGATTAATTTTAAATTTGAGACTAATTTTTTAACAAATACTCTTGTAATACATGGGTGTTGTACTAGTATATAAACAATACGAAGGTATTGCATCTAAGCACACACATTATGACATAATTTAAAATATAAAATGGAATCAACGTATATGTCCATGTAATAATCCAACCAAGTGAACAAAACAAACAAAAGTAACAATTCCAATTCAAGACGTCAAACCGTGCAACTATTGATTCATTCAACTCTTAAAACAATCATTGACTAATCCAAAAATTAGCTGTCAATTGTAGTTATCCCATCCTTGGAAAGCCCATAAATACACATCCAACCCAATCACAAAACTTGACATCACACTGATTGGAATCAATGGCTTCTCCCCAACACTACTCCCTATTTCTCATCTCCCTCACTCTCCTCATTCTATCAACAAATGCTCAAAGCCCCCTAATAATAACCCTCCCAATCCACCTAGACACCAAAACCTTCCAATTCTACACCACCATCCACATGGGCTCCAACCGGGCCCCCATCAACGCTATCCTCGACCTCGGGGGCCCGTTCCCATGGTTTGCGTGCGACAACTACGTTTCGAACACGTACTCCCCAGTCCCTTGCGGCTCGGCCCGTTGTGAGACCGCCAAGGGGATCGGGTGCGTGAGCTGCAATCTGCCCCTGAGGCCCGGGTGCACAAACGACACGTGCGCAGCCTCTCCCTACAATCCCTATCTCGACATGCTCTTCGCAGAGGGCTTCGCGGAGGACACGCTGTCCCTCGCGACAGCCCGAGTTCCCGGCTTCATATTCTCGTGCATGCACGCGGAGGACCTGGACGGCCTGGCGCGTGGAACCACGGGCATGCTCGGCCTCGCCAGGACCGAGACATCGGTCCACAGGCAGGTCGCGAGAAGTCTCGGCCTGCGCGACAAATTCTCCCTATGTTTCCCATCCTCGTCGGGAACAGGGAAATTATCGATTGGGCTGGGGTCGGGCCCAACACCGGGCCTCGATGGCATTCTGAAATCCACGACCCTCATCATAAACCCGGTCAGCACGTACCCTATTTACACGACGGGGGACCCATCCGACGAGTACTTCATCGACGTGCAATCAATACGGGTGGCGGGACGACAGCTGTCGGTCAAGAGCTCGTATTTCTCAATCGACAAGGAGGGCGTGGGTGGGACGAAAATCAGCACCATTCGGAACTTCACATCTCTCCACAACTCGATCTACATGCCATTCACGAGGGCATTCGTGAAGGCGGCATCCGACCTTGGGATCAAGAGTGTGGGGGGCGTGGGCTCGTTCCGGGCCTGTTTCAGCACACGGACGATCCGAGCGGTGCCGGATATCGACCTCGTGCTTCCTGGAAGGGACGTGTATTGGAGGATAAGCGGAGCAAACTCGATGGTTGAGGTTGACGGAAGGACAACGTGCCTCGCGTTCGTGGACGGTGGGCGCAGCCCGAGGACGGCGGTGGTGATCGGTGCTCGACAGCTGGAGGATAATTATTTGGAGTTTGATCTGGTCAACTCACGGCTGAGCTTCAGCTCTTCACTTTTGGTCCACAACAAAAGCTGCAGCTCTTAATTAGTAAGTGTTTAGCTGATGAGCTGCCCGATGTGTTTTACATTGATGTTGTTTTTGTTATCTTGTTAAGTGATTGTTGATGGGCTGGCGAGTGGCGGATCTTAATAAGTGTATGTATCATATCACACATTTGTTTTGTTTGATTTGGTTACTGACTCGTCGTGTCTCATATGAAGAATGAGAAAGTCTATTTGTTCAAAGACCCACATTGAGGAGGGCAATTTACAAATCGAAGTCAACCCACATTATTTTCATAATTTCTGCTCAAGATTTCATAAAATAATAAGGGATAATTTTATGATCTTATTTAATTTTATTACAAAAATAAATCAATTGGTGGAATACCATTATATAAGATATAAATTAAAACAAATTTTAACAAATATTAGCAAGTACATTTAATCGCTTATATTCATAAATATTTGTTGGATTATAATATTTATTTGTAATTTGTGTTATATAATAATAATGAATGCTGATATCTATATTTATATCTATATCTATATAAAAAAGTTGTTGTAAAGTTCCTCTTTAGAAACTTTGACTAAATAAATAAATCAGTTGACTTTCTATGTTTAGACTATTTAAAACGATGGGTAAGAACCATAATAAAAACGAAAGATAAGGCTTTTCAAAATTTCAATTTTTTCAAAGATAAGGATAAGAACCATAATAATCGAACTTCAAAACAAATTAATTAAAAAATTGAAATTTGAGTCAATCCAACAATTGATAGAAATTGTGACAAAAAATCAAATATTTTAGGACCACATTAGAATTGCATTTATGAAAATTCCACACCAATCTTATCATAAAGTTTCCACATTAATAAAACTTCTAAACAAATAAACAAATAATTTATAATACAGTTCATGTACACTTATATTATCATAATTTAAACAAGATGTGTACATTACCTCAGTTATCATAATTGAAGCAAGTTTAAACGACATAATTAGTATAAGAGTCCTTCATATTTGACATTAAATAAAAATAATAATATAGTTTATCATGCTATAGTACTAACAGAAATTGAGTTAATGAGGAAACAGGTGTAATGGACAAGTTAAGACACGTTATAAAATCTAAACAACTCAATCAATTAATTAATTATCTAAATCATTTTAACTTATCTTATCAGCAAATCACAATTATTCAAAAAACTTAAAATGACGTTTAATTATGACACATGTGTACTAATTGGTCATCTTGCTACACGGGGAAAAAATCTTAACGACTTAACTAATTAATTATTTTTCAAATCATTTGGACTTATCTTATAATCAAAACACAATTTGTTCATATTCTTATTTTAAATTAATCTAAACATAAATGTACGAATCACAATATATGTGATCGATTTGTTTAGAAACGTCCATTTTCTGCAGGTAAAAAAAACAAAAATAAAGAGATGACCGGCACGACATAGAGAATTGGTCGGGAAGGAGAAGAAAAAAAATAAAATGAAAACCCTGAAAATTCGGACTTATGGCCTAATGTTTGTGTAATTAGTATCGATGTTATGAAACATAGTCCAATACTTGATATATTTTATGGAAAATGCTACAAGTATACAATAAATGTACATATAGGTGTACATAATACTCATATGGAATGAAGTCCACTTGATTTTTTATTTTTGGTGGGTCTCACTCAATATGAGTGCTATTTACATCCGTATGTAGAATATTATGTACCTATCATTTCTTTTATTTTATATCCAATTAAACAAATGTTATTGTGTTGAATACTATTATTATTATTATTATTATTATTATTATTATTATTATTATTATTATTATTATTATTATTATTATTATTATTATTATTATTATTATTATTATTAGCAGCCATGTCTTTTCAATTTTATTATGGCTATATACAAATTACCTTCGAAAAAAGCACATAAATTATAATTTTCCCGTACATCGCACGGGGAATTACTAGTAAATATAAAAAGGTTTGGTATTTACCTGAAATAGTAACTAAAATCCCGCCTATTTTTTTGAAAAATTCAAAATATCCCGCCGCCTAGATGTGTTTTGAATTTTTTTGAAAATAAATTAAATCAAAACATTAAAGAAAGCAATCACACAAATATTTTCTTGGATACATTCTATGTTTGTCTAATGGGATTTGTAATGAATGAGTAGAAATAAATTATATGTACATTTGCCTAATTAAGATTTGCATTTCCCGTATATTGCTTTCAAGTTTTTTAAATATTTTTTCTTTTTGGATTTGAAATCCATTTTGTTCGTTTTTCTTTTTCTTATTAAATACCAAAACTGTTTTGTATTTTTATAAGACTTAATATTAAATATTTCTTTGTTTTATATATACTAGTATGTACCCCTTGCGATGCACGGAACAGAGACATTAAGTGAGTTATTTTAAAAATATCTATCAGTTTAAGTCTAAAAAATAAAGCAATAGAGTTATCATCTATTTTTCACCTCTTTTAATCAACAATAGGATTATCATCTATGTTCCACCTCTTTTAATCAACGTTAAGGCTATGTTTGGTAAAACTAGCTGATAAGCTAGCTTATAGCTTATATGTAATTTTTGAGCTTATAGCTTATAGCTTATGACTTATAGCTGAAAAGCTAGCTTATATGATAAAAGTGTTTGGTAAAATTAGCTGATAAGCTAGCTGGAATAAAAAAAATCAACTAGCTTATTTGAAAAGCTACCTAAACAAACTTATCAAATAGGCTCGAGCTTTTTAAATAAGCTCGTCCTACCAAACGAGGCTTATTTGAATACAGGTAGCTTATAAGCTAACCAAATAAGCTATAAGCTAGCTTATTTAGTTTACCAAACATAGCCTAAGTCTAAAAAACAATAAGGTTATAATCTATTTTCTACATCTTTTATTCGACGTTGTTTTTTAGCCAGAACATTAAATATGAGCACGTTAGGGCTAGCTTGTATAATAATTAATATATTGTATCACTAACACATTTATACTATTATAAATTTGATTTTAGTATATATATTCCTTGATATAAGAGACAAAAAATTGTTTTACTTATTCTTGTTCACCATATAATACTTAATTATTATTTTATTATAAACTTTTTTATCATATAATGTTATTATTATTTGTAAAAGTTATATAAGTTGTACGTCTTATTTTTTATTTTATGTAATAAAAAATATTTAATGCACGTTATTATTATTATTTATGTAATCAATGTAAAATATGTAAATAAATTAAATATTAAATAGTGAATAAATATTTTACAAAATATACACACATGTTTTTGTAGAATTTACTTTTGTATGCTAATTAAACAACTTTGATTTAGCAAATGTCAAAAACTCAATCCCTTCTATAATTAAGATATTTCTAATTTGCATTATAAGGATTTATAATTTATTTAACATACTCTGCATTGAAAATATATTTTACCAGAAGTTTATTATACAAACAACTCAAAATACAAAAATTAATTAAAAATAATAATTATCATGGTTGCTAATAATATACCTATAAATCCTTAAGAACGGTTAATATATTTCAATGTTAATTTGACCATTAGTAAAAGTATCTGATATATTAGATCATTATCTTTTAAATGGTAAATAATATTAATTCGAAGAATAATTTATTCTTTATATATAACGAAATAAAGCTTAAGGAAAAATTATATTGGCAAAGATTAATTCTCCTATTTGATTTCGTCTGATTAATTGGAAGAAAAAATTATGTTTTACGATTTTCAATAAATATTTTTGGATAAAAAGTGAATATTTATGAAAGAAAAAATAATATTATGGTTAGAACATAAACTATGTTGTAATATTTATCTTGACCAAAATATTATCAACACGAATCAAGGAAAATCAA